TTGAGCTATCATCAAATCGAAGCTAGTAGAGCATCTAGCATATGCAACGTTTGCTGGAGAATTGGGGAGCACCTCCTTGTGCATATTAGACAAAGGACTACTCAGAGATCATAGTGATTGAGACAAAAATCCTATCAAAGTGCCACACTAGCAAGAAGGATTTGCAAGTTCTCTTCCAAGATTTTGCCATCTTTTTTAGGAACTGGAGGAAAGCAAGTGTGGCTACAGTGAAGAAAGAAAATTTTTGGCACTTAGTAAGGCTTTTGAGAAGCTGAATCAAGCTTTTGCTATCAATGTTTGCAACACTGCCACTATGATTGATGATATTGAGGGCATGATAAAGACAAAAATTGATGCTAGTTCTTGGTCGGCCACTTCACATGTGGAGTTTGCTAGAGCAGTCATGACTTAGCATCATGGAAGAGGAAGGCATTGCCCCAAGGATGAGGACGTGGTTGTGGGTGCTTGCAAGGACAAGGATGCAAACCACAATCTAGAGCAGAAGAATTTGAGGATAATGAGGAAGAAAATAGCAGCTATTACTACTACTGCTAGAAGTTGAATACTAGACATGTAAAGGCTAATAGTCCAGTTCGCTTGTAGGAAGAAGCAAGAAGAGCAGCCAAGCACCATACAGCTGCTAGATGTCCTCCATTTGTAGCTATTGTGGAAGACTCTGGATCCATGGGAGACCAGGGTGAGGATGATCCAGTAGTATGCTTAGTTGCTAGAAAAAAACTCAATTTCTGGTAGTCTAGTGCTAGATTCAAGAGCTAAGGGGCATGTCATGAAGGATAGGAATTGGTTCGAGGAGGTTAAATTGTTCAAATGGGAAATGAAGGACTTCAAGTACTCAAGGGTAATGGAAGTTGTGTAGTGCCGATTAAAGGGCAAGGAGTCTTTAAAATAAAGCAAACTTTATTAATACCTGGCATTATGCACAATTTGGCCTCTATTGCAAGTCTCATTGACCATGGGATGGATATAAGGTTTACCAAAACTAAATGCTTTGTTAAGGAATCTATAAGAGAAGTATGGATTGCTAGAATGGTTTGAAATTTATATGAGCTTTTGTTCATAAAAGACCTCTAGTTTCCTCAATAGCTCTAGGCATTTTCAAGACTGCAAATGTGGAGAATAAGACAGCTCTTTGGCACGCTTGACTTGCACATACAAATGTGCATCTTTTAAAATCCATCAAGTCATAGAATTTGGTGGATGGATTGGATGATCCACTCTTGGAAGTAAAACATATTTGTTATGGTTGTCAACTTGGCAAACATGCACAAAGTTCCTTTCCTCATTCATCTTGGTGTACCAAGCAACCTTTAGATCTTGTGCATTTAGCTCTTTGTGGTCCTATGCAAGTTTAGTCACTCTTAGGGAAGTTCTACTTCATGATGATTGACGACTTCACTAGAAGGTGTATCTGAGCAAAAAAAGTGATGCTTTTGTAGCTTTCAAGATCTTTCTTAAGCAATCTAAGAAGTAGTTGGATAGAAGATTGAAGATATTGCACTCAGACTCGAGAAGAGAGTACACATAAAATGAATTCAAGGTTTTTTGTCTTGAAAGAGGCATTCGGCAAGAGTTCACATGTACAGCTACACCACAACAAAATGGAGTAGCTAAATGAAAAACTAGAACAATCATGAATGCAGTGAGATCTATGATAAAAGCAACTAGTCTTCCCAACTTTTTTTGGCAAGAAGCTATTCAAGTAGCAGTTCATGTCCAGAATAGAATCCCTTCAGCTAGAAAAAGGGATGTCATTCTAAAGGAGGTTTAGATAGGTTGTCAACAAAGCATAGGCAGGCATGAAAGTTTTTTGCTCACTTGCTTATGCTAAAGTTCTCAATGATGATTTGAAGAAGCTTGATGACAAGAGTGTCCTTGGTTTTCTCATTGGATACAATGGATACAAGAAAGGTTATCACATCTATCACCCAAACTAGTGTAAAGTGATTGTATCACAAGATGTTATATTTGATGAAGGCATTTTGTACAAGGATCATCATCTTGCAAAATCTCAATGGTGGGAACCAGACCTAGAAGAGCTTGTAGCAACTTCTAGAGTGTGGAGTTATGCCTAAGTTTAGGCATTCAAGACAACCACACTCCTTCTTGATGACTTTCATAGAAATGACCGTCAATGCTCCCAAGCTGAAAATCTTGAGCAAAATCAAGAAGTTCAAGAGCCTCTAGCAACAGCTCAAGCTGAAGAACTTCCACAATACCATTGAAGGAGGCCAGAATCTAAGAGGTTGATAGCTGAGTTGAATTTCGATACACAAAACAGAGGGAGGGATGAATCTGGAAGAACATTACGACATCCTAGACCAAAAATCCTGAGCATTCACATGCCAAGCACGTACCAAGAAGCTATCTCAGGACCAGATGCAAAGAAATGGATCTAGGCCATGAAGGAAGAACTTGACAGTCACAATCAAAACAGCATTTTCAAGTTGTGTAAAGCTCCACCTAGAAGAAAGATCATTGGGAGGAAATGGGTGTATAAGATCCAATACAACCCAGACTCCACCATCAAGAGGTACAAGACTAGACTTGTAACTCAAGGTTTTCCATAAATTTCAAGTGTTGATTATGAAGAGACCTTCTCATCAGTCGTGAAGGTGGCATGTTTGAGGACACTAAAAACTTTTGCTACTAAGTTTGGTTTACATGATCATCATATGGACATCAAGATAGCTTTTCTAAATGCCACTTTGAACAAGGAGATCTTCATGCATGAACCAGAAGGTTTTAAGGCAGGTCTTGACTTTGTTTGGAAGCTAAGAAAATCCATCTATGGGCTAAAACAGGTGGTACAAATGCTTGAATAATTTATTGCAGAAGAAAGGTTTCCGAAAGCTCAACTTATATGGAAACCTTTATTAGAAGTAGGAAGGAACAAATGTTTTAGTCATGGTAGTGTATATCAATGATTGTTTGCTTGTTGGCAATGGAAAAGAGTACCTTAAAAAGGTCAAGCAAATTTTGATGTAGCGGTATAGGATGACAGCTCTTGGGAAGGTCCAGAAAATCCTTGGTATGGAAGTTCATCAAAGTCCAGATCGTTCCCACATTGCAATCACATTGTGTGCATAGGTTCATAAAATACTTCATAAACACGGCATGACAAAGTGCAAATCAGCTCCAATGCCAATGGTCTTTAGTACAAAATTCTCTCAATATTCTGAACTTGAGGTACTTCAAGATATCAGACCATACCAGAAACTTGTTGGCAGCCTTTTATACATCTCCACTTGACATTGCTTTGCAGTTGGAGTACTCAGTCGCTACACCTCTTATCCAACAAAGAAACACATGAAAGATATCTCAAAGGGACTAAGCAGTTTGGTTTAGTCTATGAAAGAGATAACAGCTCTACAGTCAAACTCATTGCATACTCGGATGCAGATTGGGTAGGCGATGTGGATACTAGGCCATCAACATTTGGAGTATGTTGTTTATTTTTTGAGGCAGCAGGGAGTAAAAAGAAAACTGTGGTGGCTCTTTCCAGTGCAGAAGCAGAGTATGTAGCAGCTTCAGCAGCAGCAAAGGAGATAGTATGGCTAAGGCTTATGATACAGGAACTTGGATAGGAGCAAAAGGATGCCACTCCACTTTTTACAGACAACAAAAGCTGCATTGCCATCTCAAAAAATCCAGTGTTTCATGGGTGGGTAAAGCATATAGAGATCCAATATCATTTTGTTTGTGGCCAAGTCGAAGTGACCCTAGAGTATATTCCAACAAAATCCTTTTTGAGGCTAAAGACCCAAAACTGAGTTGAGATTTAGACTAAAAGTTGGTAATTTTGGTGAGAGTAAGCATGGATTAGATAGAGGGGTGCTAAAGAAGTGTTCAAAAATAATTTCCATTCCCAAAAGAGAAATCAACTATAGTGCAAGTAGAATGGTGCCCATGTAGCTCTCTCTCTTTCTCTCTCCACCAGTTTTGGTCAAAGTTCATCATTCCTATTGGCAATTGATGCAATTAAGACTTTAACTTCAAGCTCCATTTCTGAAGTGTGGAGACAGTTCCAAGTGGAAGTGTTCATGAAATATGACTTTGGAGAAAGATTTTGTCCTCGAGGGTAAGTTGAAGCTATGACAAAGAGCACTCGCAGAGAATTCCAATCACTAAACCCTATAAGATTTTCAAACGATAAACAGTGATAAGAAATTATAGCTTTCTATTGAGGCCGAAATGGACAGCAAATATGTAAGCGATTGGTACACCAACAATGTAGTAAGCTCTCGCAACACCTAAAGTTCTCACAGTCAATCCATAAAAATCATAGAAAGAATCACGAAAGAATCAACATAAAGTTCTTGGAGGATTGATATGAACTTACCCGAAATGGATCCTTGGATATCATCCATGAAGGAAATCAGAGGTATGGTACAACTTCTGCTATAAGCTTTGGCGACTTCTTTGCGAGCCAAGAACAAGATCGTCACCATTATCTTAGCCTTGACGAGCACGAGACCAAGCGTGACAACGAACGAAAACTGCACAAACATTGGAAACATGGCCAGCTCCAAGCTCGTTGGAAATTCGCGTACTATGAAAAAATACTTGAAAACTCTGATCAATAAGAATGTAAGGAGAACCTGGCTGATATTCCAATACCACGTCAATCATAGAGTGTTATAGCTTCTTAGACCAAGGTTCCTTCATATCTTCATATATCAAAGGAGTTTAACCTTCCGACTAAACTTCATTCTTACATGATCGAATAGACCGATGCCTGGGGATTTGGCAGAAGTCCTGAAAAGAATTACCGTCTTATTCCACACTAAACAAAACTAATCAAAAAGTAAAAAAATGTGATAAAGAAGTAGAAGACATAATTTACCAGACATGATCGCTGAAGGAACTGCCAACTTTAAGAAAACTTCGATGTCTCGAAACATTTCGGTGGAAAATCAGGGCCAACATTGCTGGCAGCGGGGGATGAAAGCCACCAAGAGCACAAACAGTCTAGCGTTTATCTAGTAGGAAATGCTGAGTCCAATTCCCAGCTTCAGCTTGTGGATCATGATCCAGTAGAGCAGCATTGGAACCACGCAGATATGGATCTGGAGAAATCTCATGAGTGGCTGGATCAAAGCATAGGATAGCAATCCCGGGATCAAATAACGGGCGTAGATCCCGGCCTTGAGGGTTCCACATTGTTGAACAAAAGAGCAAATGGTAGCGAGATCAAGAAGAATTCCCAGAGTGTGGTATTGCTTGGCTCCATAGGCTTGGCCGCAAAGAGTTTCCAGAGCGCTAGCCAGTTCCAGCTGCAAAACAATCAAACAGAGAAGAAGACCAATGCAAGCTCGCAAACTTTGAAGAACAGTGATAAACTTGGCTAAAGAACAAGAGGAAGAACTCACTAAGAATTTATAGAGAAGATACTGAATCCCGAGATGGTGCAAAAGGAAGTGGCGATGGAGGCGCTGGAGAAATCGAGCTCTCCCGAGTACAAACATCACCGAGACGATCTAGATGGAATACTGGAGGAGATTGACGCCCATCATCGGCAGCACGAGCCAGAGCTGGCGCCCAATCTCCGCTCGAGCCCGATTGAAGGCGACCATCTTCTTCTTCTAGCTCCTCGCTCCTCTAATTCCTTCCAGATTTAGATTTTATTCTTGTGACGTGTCACATTCTACCGTACTCAAGTACGGCATGATCTAAGATAGTAATGGTAAAGTTGCCGAGGTCTCGACTCTCTTGGTCGCGTTCTCGGCCTGGAAGAGGAAGTTTTAAAATCGATGTCGAACCAAAACTTCCAAGAGAGATTTAGATTTCTTACTTGTTTTTCCCAGTTTGTGAAGACACTAGAGATCAAAAGGAAGGTTATCGCTTGTGTGCCTGTTCCACAAAGAATTCCAATCACTAGTCCCTGTTCGATTTGAGAGGAACACAAAACTTTGACGATCAGGAGTAACAAAACACGATCATTCACACCTTTCCATTGAGGCCGAAATGGAACGCGAGACTGTAAGCGATTGGTACACCAACAATGTAGTAAGCTCCCAGATTTGCAGCAGCAGCAGTTGCTTGCCATCCACAACCCCTCGCAACACCTAAAGTTCTCACGATCGATCATAAAATCCCATGAAAGTCATCTCCGAAGTTCTTGGAGCGATTATGAGCTTACCCGAGATGGATCCTTGGATATCATCCATGAAGGAAATGAGGGCTATGATCGGTCCAAGCTTCGCCACATTGTTGATAACTTCTGGTTCGTTGCTATAAACTCTTCCCAGAAAGTGGCGAGCCAAGAACAAGAGAATCGCCATTGTCGTAGCATCAAGGAGGGCGAGACCAAGTGTGACAAAGAAGGCAAACCGCGCATTGGAAACTTGGCCAGCTCCAAGCTCATTGGAAATTCGCGTACTATGAAAGACCAAACCTTGATTTTTCAGTAAGAAAATGGATGAAATTTTACCTGGCCGCTATACCAATGCCATAAGGTATCATAAACGTGAAGCTTACAGTGTTCAAGCTGCAAGGACGGTTTTACCGTGATCAGTAAAATCAAAAATCAATCTATAATCTCATTTACATGATCGAGTAAACCGAGGTTTGGAGCTGGGGATTTGGCAAAAGTCCTGCGAGGAGAAGTAGTAGCTCAAAAGCCCACCATTCCACACTGCCAAAAAAAAAAAAAAAAGATAGTAAGAAATAGCACAAAAAACGAAAGAGAAAACCATAATTTACCAGACCATGATCGCGGAAGGGACCGCCAACCTCAGGAAAAGTTTGAAGTCTCGAAACGCTTCGGTGGAAAATCCGGGCCAGCATTTCTTGCAGCGAGGGATAAAAGCCACCAAGAGCACAAAAAATCCAGCGTTTAGCCAGAAACAAATGCTGAGCGAGATCGCGGCTCCATGAGCTCCAATTCCCAGCTTATGGATCATGATCCAGCAGAGTAGTATGTGAACTAGCAAGCTCACGACAGAGCAAAACAGCATTGGAACCACGCAACTCTGGGTCTGGAGAAATCTCATGAGTGGCTGGATCAAAGCGTAAGATAGCAGCCCCGGGATCAAGTAGCGCGCGTAGATCCCGGCCTTGAGAGAAATATCTGGAGCCTGGCCGAAGAAGAGGAGGACTGGCTCCATGTTGTAGAACAAGAGAGCTAATGGTATCGAGATCATGATAAGGATACAAATTGCTCTTTGGAGGAGAATTCCCAGCGTGTGGTATTGCTTGGCTCCATAGGCTTGGCCGCAAAGAGTTTCCAGAGCGCTCGCCAGTCCCAGCTATTTCAGTAGGAAAATCCAAGATGGATTAGAATCCGTGCAAGCAATCACCCATCATATCCAGAGAAGACTCAAGCAAAGTTCTAGAGATAAAATCCAGCAATGAAAGCTTTGCATGAGGAGGAGATAAGAAAATGGGGGACTAACTATTGGAAGATCAATCATTGAGTCATTTATACCTAGGAGAAGAGAAATGGGTTTGTTTACCAGGATGCTGAAGCCCGTGACGTTGCAAAAGGAGCTGGCGATGGAGGCGCCGGACAGATCGAGCTCTCCCAGGTGACCCACGAACATCACCGAGACGAGCTGGATGGAATACTGGAGGAGATTGACGCCCATCATCGGCAGCGCGAGCCAGAGCTGGCGCCCAATCTCCGCTCGCACCCGATTAGCAAGGCGGCCATGAGTGGCATCTTCTTCTTCTTGTTCTAAGTCAAGCTCTTTTCTCTGGCTCATGCTGCTCAGTGCCGCCATGCCCAAGCCTGATCTTTTAATTCAATCTGCCGACGTCTCTTTCTTTATTGAATATTTTGTTTTTACGGATTCAAAGTCGAAGAAGAAAGAACGTTGAACAAGATCTTGCATTTTTTATTTTTGACGTGAAATCTTAATTTTATGCCATCTTAACTCTCTCTCTCTCTCTCTCTCTCTCTGTGCGGCGCTCCCGAAATCAACCGTGAGCACCTGAAATTTACCGATCTACCAGGCTCCTCTGCTGTACAAAGGAGAATAAAAAAGAAAAACAGTGTTTTTTATTCAGGGATGCACACACGCACACAGCGAGAGAGCTTGGCAGATCAGTGAGCGACAGAAAGTAAAAGAGTCGTGTAGCAGCTATAGAAAAAGCTTACACCTTCTGAAAAGCTCAACCTAATAGAAAACCCATGGACAACTCATAACTGCATAGAATAATTATGTACATTTGTCTTCTTTCTTTTTAAATTTTCATCAAAAAATTTCGTCTCATGGAAAATCAAACAATGACCCATGCACCATAGGAATATTTTAAGAATATTCTATGGCTTGTGGGATTTAATTGGGTTCACTCTTTATTCACTTCATTGGTATTGGAATAATTTATTCTTTTGGGGATGGCAAATAAGTGAGATATAAATCTTGATGAGAAATATGGTATTAGTGATGATGGCCATAATGATAAGGAAGAGATTTTTAATGATGTTGTTATGCAACAAGGTTGTTAAATTTTTAAGGTTTAAAGTGACATTAAAGAAGTTAAAGATTCTGTCAATCTCATTAAAAACTTCCTACTTCATATAAACCCTCAAAAATTGAATCAATCTTATGTCCATGATTATTATTAGTATGTTAAACATGCCAAAGATTATAATGGAAGTCATTATCAGATGTTTGTAATAGTTAAGAAGTTGGTTGGAATTGTGGGAAAGTTGTTAATTTTACAATTCTTGTGAGGATAAGGTGAAAATTGATTTTTTGGTGACAAAGCTAATGGGCTATGCTTCTTCGTGGTGGTTAAACTATATCAAAGTTAATCCTAAGCCAACTTCTTAGAGTGATTTGATGAAATATTTCATTTGTCAAGAAGTTTGAAGAGCTATTAAAGATCAAACAAAGGACTTTGTTTTTGGATGTGTATATCTATAAATTCTGTGATCTTTGTCTTAGTCTCATGGGTATTTATAATAAATTGCTAAACATGCAATGTTTCACCAAAGGTTTGAGCTTAATAAATGTGTAGTAGAAAGTTAAGAAGGATCTCTAGCAATGTTGACTGATGCTATCATTAAGGCTTAGATCTTTTTACCCAAACTGTCAATCAACTTTAATCAACTGGATGGTGTATAGAATAATTAACATAATAACCAACCCACCAATGCTTCATATTTGGGGAAGAAACAACCATTGCTCCATAAAGGCTCGAAAAGTGGAAATGGCAATGAAGCTAAAAAAAATTGTTTAGACTAGTGAGAGAAGGAGGCAATTATTTTTATTGTCAAAAGGTTAAACATCACAGCAAAGATTGTCTTTTTGTGATCAATCTTTTCCAATCTTCTCTAGAATACATTAAAACATACTACCATTCATAATTGAGATGAAAAGTGTCAAATGGCGTTTTAGTGTTTGAAGCAATATTATATTTCTACTACTATGTTGAAGAGTTTGTATCTTGAGAAGCCTTTTGTGGTCAATATAAGCTACAAGTTTGATGATACACAATAGAATTGGCTTACTTAAGATAAAGGTGATAAATTTGTGTCATTTAAAATATGAGATGGAATTCTAATGAAGAAAGGATGTGTGGTGGTTCTTTATGTTAACAAATTCATCAAATGGATTTTGGTTGAATGTCATAATGTGCCAAGTGTTAGGCATCCAGGGGTTATTGAGAATATATATATTGGTGAAGATGTATTTTTTTTTGGCATGGGATGAAATTAAAGGTTAAAAAGTATATATATGGTTATTTAACCTACTAGATGGTCAAAGTTGATCATCAAAAACTCACTAACCTCTATTATTACTTAAGAATAAATAGGATAACATCTCAATAAACTTTATCATTGGTTTATTTAAGAGCTTTTGAGGAAATGATGCTATTTGGGTTATTATGGATCGTTTGACAAAGATGGCTCACTTCTTCCTAGTGAAAATGATAATTAAAGCTTCTAAACTTGCTCAATTATTTGTAGACCAGTTATTCAATCTCTATGGTTTGCTTGATAATATTGTGAGTGATTAGGATCCCAAGTTCACGTCTAAGTTTTGGCAAATAATCTTTGATAAGCTAGAGATTAGTTGAGTATGAGTAGTGGTAAATATCCACAATTAGATGGGTAGAGAAAGCGCAAATTAGAAGATATGCTAAAGTTTTTTATGGGAAAACTTGACTTGACAAAAAGTATGAGAGAAGTACTTGCCTTTGCTTCAATTTGCTCATAATAGTGCTCATCAATTAGCTATTGGCATATCTTCATTTATGGCAATGTATGGCTATGAACTTAAGTCTCTCGTGAGTTTAAGTTTGGTTTTGGTTTGGGTACCTTATACTTTTGATTTCCTAGAGGATATGCAAGACAACCTTGAGTTGGCAAAGTTAAATATGAGGCAAGCTCAAGATTAAGACAAAACATTGACTAATGAGCATTGTCATTATTAAGAGTACAAAGTTGGTGATAATTTTTCTTTTAAGCTATTAAATGCATAACAGTCTTTGAGAGATGGCAGTGCTAAGTTGTCTCTACGGTATTGTGGGCTATGAACAATTTTACGTGTGGGGGATCTTGTTTACATTTTGAATTTGCTAGCTAGTTCAAATATTCATCCAACATTTCATGTGAGCAAACTTAATATGTGTTTGCACTTTGGTAATGTCATAGATTAATCTATCATCTAGGTCCTAAAGATAGATATAAAGGGTTGGGAGGTTAGCTTAGGTTCAATGTCAAATTTAATGGGGGCAGGAAGTTTGATTTTATAGTTCAAATATCTAGCAAAAGATAAAGTCACTCTTTCAACACACAAACCAATGTAGTGACCTTGATGAAGCAATTTGATCTTTGAGCAGCTTTGAGCACTATCTCCCAGTTGCACCAATTGCCTCCATGGTAGCTTGCTATTGAACCAACAAGTTACATTATTTCATGAGCGAAAATGGTAATGGAATGAGCCAACTTGATGACATTGCTTTGCTCTTCAATGTCCACTATCTGAGATAAAGTCCATGGATGTCCAAAAAGATTATATGTTAGGTCTGTGTACTGATTGTTTAGAGTTTTGTAATGCAAACTAATATTGTCCTCAGTGTAATTCATAGAGATTATATTCTCTTGGATGGAATCAACTAAGATTTCAGATTTGGCATATCAGGTTTAACATATGTGTCCACAAAACCTTTAAGTGGTTTAAGTGGTGGAAACATTTATATTCACAGGTATTTTTATCCAGAGAACTAGACCTTCTATTTTGTGACAAGTTGATTACATACTGGTGCTGCACGTTAATCAGCATTCACCATTTATTGGTTCTATATGTCAAGCTGGATGAAAAGGGAAAGAGAAGTTCATGCAAGGACAAATAAGAAATGGTTGATCAAGTGATGGATAGAATCAAGAAGCTGAACATCAAGGTGAAGTTAGTCTTTAGGTGACGTTGGTGGCTTGCATGGAGACAAGCATCAGTGCCTAGAGGATCCTATCATATTTAGTCAGCAAAAGAGCAAAAAGACTAAAGTAACTTCATCCAAGCCTTTTGCAGTAGCTATAGCAATTGCTAATCACTGGTAACAATTTAAAAGATGAATAGAGTATTTGCAATGGAATGATAAAAAAGCAAAAATGATAATAGATATAAACAATAATACCAAGAAGTTTTTTGTGTGATGAAAAATAATTTTAAAGAGAGATTAAGGATTTCTGAAATTTGAAATTTATAAGATAAAAGATGAATATAATCTTTAAGTGATTTCATTTATAGTGTATATTTTATAAAATTTAGAAAAGTAACTTTAAAGAGAGATTAGTGAGTTCTTAAATTTGAAATTTATAAGATAAAATGTGAATATAATATTTAAGTGATTTCATTTATAGTGTATATTTTATAAAATTTAGACTATTGAATAAATTAAATTAAATTTGTTTTTTTGGTATTTGTCAACTATGAGCTACTAAGGTGTGGTGTAGATATTCTATAGCTTTTCCATTGTTAATAATTAATGATGCATATATGAGTTTAGATTAGATATTTTAAATGAAAAGAAATAAAAATAAATTATTTTTATCAAAATTTGTCCATCATAATATAAAAAGAATATCTTGATGATGTTGTTATACTATTACTGAGTTTTAGATTTATAAAATATCATTAAAGAAAAATATTTTTATTATAAAAATTATATAATTATTTTATTAAAATTTTAAATTTATTATTTATTTATATTAAAAAATTTACTCATATATAGTTCTTTTCATAGAAGATATAACAGTGATTTTATCTTTAAGTGATTTCTTTTAGTTGTAAATGTTTTATTATTAAATTAATTTAATTTAGTTTATTCCTCCATATATTTCAAGTAAGAGTTATAGAGTTGTGGTTAGAATAATTTTCAGTTTTTCCACTTTTTCCATCACACATTCAATATGTTATTATAATACTAAAATCATATCTTGATGATATTTCTATATTATTGGTAAGTTCTAGATTTATAAAATATAATCATTAATGATAAATAAAAAATTTTGTGATTATAGTTCTTAGAATATTATATAGTTAACTTATTGCCAATTTAAATCATAAATAATTCATTTATTTATGATGTAAAAACTCTTAAGTTTTAATTTGAAAATTATATAATAAAACGAGGATAATATTTAAATGATTCTTTTAGATATAAGTTTTATAAAATTTAAACAACTTTGGTGGTAGTGGATATACCTAGAATATTCTTGAATATTCCATTATCTAATAGTTGTTATTTATTTAGTTTCATCTTGTATTTATAATTTTTAAACATATTTATCTCTCTGAAATATTTTTTTATTATATTATTATTTATTGTATCATCAAATGATGATATGTATAAGATGAATCTTGATTTAAAAGTTATAAACATGTTTATATCTATTTATCAATTTGATTATTCAATAGTACTAAATATAAAATAAAATAGTAATAAAATTGCAATGCACAACAATGGGATAACTGTCAAAGGGTTATTTTTTTAACCACGTCTTAATGAATAATTGTGTTGATGTTTACACTTAGCCAATGGGAGCATTCTAACATGTGTCACAAATTCTAGGTCATTAACAATCCTAAATGGAGAGTGGTGATTCATGCTACACCTTCTTCTCTAGGGTTCTGTGCTTGTAAAAGCAAACACCAGGTTATTGCTTTACAGCTCCCCAATCTCTTTAAGCGCTCTCTCACAGGATTCCGCAAGTGTGCATGGGGGCGTTCAGATCAACATAAGTGCAAGGAACTTCTTGAGATTCCAATTCTCATCCAGAATGGTAAGTTTATTTGGGAGTCTCTCATCATTGACTACATTGACAGGTTCTCACATCCATGCACAAAGGCTGACTTGGTTGACAAAAAAGTAATAGACTCCATTCTTCCAAAACCAGCTTATAGATTATTTGGGGTTTCCTAGACAACAGCATGGTGACAAAGAAACATGCCATAATGCTACATTGGGTGCTGATTTCGACTTGACTCTCCTTTAGATCCCATTAAAGTGGAATATGCTTGATCCTATTCCAAAATCTAATTAGGTAGTTTGCTAATCAGGCAGTTTTGCTAACTAGGTAGCATATGCTAGGCAATTGCTAGTATAACACTAAAAGAATCTTGATGATATTGTTGGTATGAATTTATAAAATAAAAAATTATTATTTAAAAAATGAATGCACAATATTTATTGATGATCCGACTACTTAATCTTAATAGAAAATTGCATGTTTAGATTATCTTTACGTGTGTAAATTCGCATTTGCAATTTAAAACTTATACTCATTCACATAGTTTTAAAAGGAAAATATCTATTATCTAGGTCACCTAAACACTTACGTGTTTCAAGAGAAAACACGTTCACGTGTCGTAATAGAACACTCTTAAATCAACTATTAAAGGACTGTCATGAAACATGAGGTTTTGTGTTCTTTTCACATAATCTACTGGGAGCAGGGCATAGCATTGCTATAATGGATCATAGAGTGATCATTGCACTTGTGTTTCTTAAGCTTTTGTGCTTTGGCGTGGTTTATAGCGCTGATTGCTATGGGGGTTCCATGCCAAACGGGCTTACAGTATCTAATTACCAAGGAGCTGCCAACCTTTTTTGTGGGGCTGATTTAGCCAACAATGGGAAAACATACATCTTTGGGTTTGACTCATCTGGAAGGAGAAAAAGTGTTACCCTGACTTTCAGAGGGAATGCCAAAGCAAAATATTGCACGGTAATCGATGCAAGGTTTGAACAATGGTGAAATTTACTAATTACTTGGTAATTCTGAATGTTTAGACTGCGTATAACAATATCATCAGCCAATGCATGCAAGCCACATGTGGGCGGAATGCCTGTCCACAAAAGGCAGGTAAATGGGATTGGTCGTTAAATGGCGAAGAAGCCCACTACACTATTGATGGCACTGTTGCTTGATTTGCCAAATCTAAAATAAAATATAAAATAATATAAAATGATATAATAAAGGGACCAACAAGAAAAATGTGCACCTTTTGAATTATAAAATAAATAGTTCCAGGTGTGATAGATTATGACATTAAAAGATCACGGCATTGGCAGGACAATTTCTAGTTTATGTCCCCATATGCAAATATATAACAGCGTATTTCATGCTGTACATGGCATCAGTATATCTCATCCATGAACAAAAATCGATCAAAAATCGATCATCCCCCACGAACTTCAATCACGTCTCCGTCCCTGAGCTCCACCAGCGGCAGTGCGAGCTGCCCGTTCACGTACATGATCTTGTTGTCGATGCCCATGCGCTGGGCTGCGTCCGAGACTGTGCTCCCGGCAGGCATTCGAACGATATCACCGTTTGGCCACGAGATCACCAAGACCTCCGTGAGAACAGCCGAGCTCGGATCATCCGGATGCCGTGCCGCCTCAAAGTGGACCTCTTTTTCCCACTGGAGCATCGATCTCAGCAGCTTCACCTGTGTTTTCGCAAACTTTCCTTGTGATGGAACGCAAAAGCTTTTCGCTTCCTTACCTTGTTGTTAAGTCGCGTTGTCGCCGATCCCGAGCTTAAGTTCTGGCTTGACATCGATGTCCCAGCCTGGGTTTGGAGCTCTATCTCGATTCCTTCGTCCACCATGGTCATCACTTCCATGTACTCTTTAAGTTCGCGAGCATCCAATTCTAGCAGCTGGAGAAATGTTGGCAATGGACGGTGAAATTGATCCTTCTGTTCGTCAGGCAGCCACAATGTTTTTTACTTGCCTGCCTTGAAAGAAACATAAAAGCAAGGAACCACGAACCTTGTGATAGATATGATCCCCGCATAAGACATATTTCTCGAGACAGGTATCCCAATCACCGTGTCCCGGAGCAAACCACCAGCTTTTGGCCACCTGATATTTTCCCGCTCTAGTTACGGAGAAACAAAACTGTGAACAAACCTTGCTGTACATGTACGCAAAAATCTTCCACCGATCCTTATCGTCGAATGAAGCTCCAGATACTATAGCTTCTCCAGAACTTACAGCCACCAGCAGCTCTTTCCCATCATGGTCTACTCTGCAAGCAACACAATTAAAACCGCGAGTAATTGGATTCAGGTTTCCTCGAGAGGGACCTTATGACAACAGCTGCTCGAAGACTTCCACCTTCGATTCTAAGAGCAGGGTATCTCAACTGGACTTGCTTGGAGGGTGTAGACGATGATGGCGTTAGATCCGTGTCCGAATCTCTGCCATTTGTAGGCAGAGCCTGCGTCATAACTGGAGCTCCACTCTCTTTGTAAAGCCAATGAGCAGCATTTCCGCTCTCTGCTTGTTCATGCATCAGCTTGTATCAAAGACAAACTTTGTGTAAGTAAAGAGAATCTTAGTAAACTCTCCATACCTGAGTACGAATTTGCACCTCTAGGGGGGCACCGTCAGGTCCTCTCACAGCCGTGTGAAGAGACTAGAGGATAAAACAGCTACAGTGTAAGATTAATTCAACCTGAGACGCTGCATACCTGATATCCACTTGGTTTTGGATTCAAAATATAGTCGTCAAACTCCCCACTAATAGGCATCCACAATCTACAGAACGATGCTCGCGTTAAGTGGTCCTCAAAGTAAAAGAATTTGGCAAAGAAATAAATCACCTGTGGACCACGTCAAGAAGGCTGTAACACCCTTTGATGGCGGCCACATGGAGCTTTCCTCCACCGTCTCCAACGACAACTCTCAAAGCACGAGCATCATAAATTTGATCCAGATGAACACCTTTTCTCTTCATCTGCAAGCCTTGGTAAGAGTGTGTGACCGTAAAACAAGCGAGCTGTCACCTTGGAATGCGTGCTATACAGGCTCTTTAATCGACCAGATAGAGTTACTTCAGTTCCAGGGATGTATCTATAAGTTGCGGGATTAGTACGCTGAATGTAATACTTCGGATTGGTAAGAACCTTACGGGGTGGAAATCGCTACTTCTTTATCAAGTGCCTCTTCGCAAAGGGAGAGAGCCGCAAGCGCAACTTTAGTATCTTCGATCACCTTGCTTTTGGACAGAGACGGTGGCAAACCAAATTTTTGCTTTCCACGATTTTTACGACCTGAGAGCAAGTCAAACGGAATTACTGCATCCAGGAGATCCTGCACAAAAAAGGACCATAAGTCTAGTCAGTCAGCAAGCTCTTTAGTAAGAACCTTCATTGATAAATCTTCTATCTCTTCGTTGCTCTCGTCCTCGGTGGATTCCGTGCCATAAATCAAGGCTCTCCTTTTTTCCCTCTTTGTCATTTTCCTGTAGTGCCTGACCTCCTCGTCAACTGACCACATTGCAGCAAGTCCAGACCGTAGCTCTCGAAAAGTTTGCGGCTTTACAGAAACAAAACGTTAGAAATCTTTAAGGAAAACTTCAGGACCGCACCTCAAGTACAGCAAAACAAAGATCCTCAAGCTCCGCTTTGACGGTCCAGACTCCAAGTCTGGAAGCGAGTGAGCACCAAACAGCTAGTGTCTCTTGTGCTACAGCACGCGCCTTTGGAGCAGGCAGAGCATATCTAAACAAACCAATAGCCGTTAAAACTCGCGTCGCACATAAATGATTTAGCTTACATTGTCCTCATGTTGTGCAAGCGATCAGCAAGTTTCACGAGAACTACTCTGGGATCGTTAACCATTCCTAGCAACATAATGCGCAAGCTGTCCACCTGGAAATACAAAAAGCATGAACATCTCTGGGCAGGCTCACGCACTGTTTCTTTACCTCCTCCGAAGTTAATCCATTCCCAAATTCTTCTCTTTCATGGGCGGTTTTTCTTCGATGTCTGCGCAGCAACTGCCTTAAAACACATGAGACTGTTTCTGAGCACTCGTCTACGGCCGTACCTGGTTTATGTAGCTCAGCCTAGAAACGCCTGCCACAAGGTCAGCCACATTATCACCAAAACTGGTCCTTAAGTCATGTAAGCTTCTCGTAGTATCGTCAACTACATCATGTAAAATTCCAGCAACAACGGTGTCAATTGCCTGAGAGACAATTGGTTTTAGCGCTTTGAAAAGGTGACAAGGACGTAAAAAAAAAAGAGCATTACCTTGGTTCCCACTTGTGGAACTAAAGCAGCTAAAATCTTAGCAGTATGAATGCAATGTGTTATATAAGGATCACCCGTCATCCGCATCTGTCCAGCATGAGCTTCTCGAGCGTAAGAAACTGCTCTCTGGACCTGGAGGAAAACGGGCACTTGATCGAAAACTACACGATTGTCGATCCATACCTTCTCATCTTGAAAAATTGGATAGTCACTAACATCCACTCCATCGAACACCAAGCTCGCTGCTGGCGATCAAGAACAATGTAAAGAAAAAGAAGAAGACGAGACCGCGCCTTACTTCCATCGTCAACTTTCCCGTTTCGTGGATCACTGCTCGCCTGTGGAAGAATGCATGCTCCATACGCCACGGCCGCCGTGACCGCAACTTGAGCAAAGGTCATGAGCGCCACAGCATGAGCCGAGGCGGTCGGAGCCACAGTCCTGAAAGCAGTGCTCCCGGTCGCGAGCAGCTGCCCCACGGACGCCAGCGGCACCTGGCGGACGACATGATCCAGCAGCAAGCTGCTGCGACAAACCGGAAGGAGAAATCGCCGCCGCTTCCTCCTCACTGTCGATCGATTCTTGCCGCCGCAATGCGCCCACAGCGCCACATTCCCGCAGGCGCAATCCATGCCGCCAGCGGCAGCAGCAGCATCGCACAGCTCGCGCGCTTCGTTTTAGCCCTAAATCCTCGCGGAAGAACAGCGAGTGATATTACGCCACTCCGCCATGGCCACCACCGCAAGAGGACAGAGCGCTAGATACCCGAAACGTGGCTCTTTCCAAAGTCTACACGTCTCACAATAATATCCTCTAGAATATTCCACACTTTGAAAATGTGAGTTGACCCCTTCAACACGGAGGGGGAAAGTTCTTTCCATCTCTTTCGATCGCCCAAAAAAAAACTCTCTTCACTTACTTCGCGGCACTACCTACACGATCGCATCGTGTTGGTCGATCAAACAAAAATATAGAAGAAGCAGCTAGAAAACTCACGAGATTGCCTGGCGCCGCCCTTCCTTCTTCACCAAAACTCTGTCCCCCTCGCGAGCCACCGTGATCTTCTTATACACGAGCAAATCGTCCGAGTCCACGCTCAGAGCAGCGGCGCCGCTCGAGCTCAAGCTCCGCCCCTCCAGATTGTTTGCTGCTCCATCTCCATCACTCACTACCACGACTCTCATCTCGTAGTACGTATCCGTCCCAGCCATGTCCACCGGGACAAACTTGTCCGAGAAAGGGGCCACCGAGAGCCTGAGCCTGCCAAGCTGATCCCTGTATCGGTCCCGGAAAACCACCGTCGCCGGTGTCTGGTTGCAAATCCAAGTCACTCGCTGCAAATCCATGCTGCACGGCTGCGAGTCGGACGTCTTGATTCTGGAGAAGCATCCCAGCTTGAACATCTCCTCGCTCGAAGAACTGAGACCAACTGTATGGAGCTTATAAACTGCCGACCACCATCAGTTTAGTCGCCCTGTTCGGCCCGCCAGAGCTACAATCGGGCGGCTATTGAGCTCCGTGCCGTACTCGGACAAGTATCCATTGCCGACCATTCTTTCTGTGAAACATCAAAATATAAGTCATCTCCCTGGAACGCTGAAAAAACGAGCTAGCTTCATTACCAGATAGCCGAGTTGAAGTTGAGGATCTTGGTGAGCGCAAAGTCGTCGAAAGGGAAATAAAAAAAAAGTCTCGCTGGAAAAGCCTACATGTGGAGAGATCAACGAAGGTACACAGAAAGTAACAAGCTTAACTTGCTGCTGCACATGACTAAAGACAGTGGGCTCCTTCAATGCTGCCGCTTTTCACACCCAACTTGAACAAACCACCCTTGTCTGCAAACCAAAAACAAAAAGACACTTGCATCAAACCAGAGAGAAGACTTGGTAGAGAAAGCACACCTCACTCACAAGCTTAATCTAGGTAAGATGTTGCAGAGAGGACTCGTGCAATGCGCCTGAGCGAATAGGTGTGAGTGACAACGACGCTGCCTGCACCAACAACAGCGTATTAGTCAGAAAGAGGAAAAACAAGTGATGCTAAGAGTAAGATAAAGCCACTACCAAGAGCGCAACAAATGCAGCGCAGACGAAAGAGTTTTCGGCCTTACTCAAACCGCTGAAGATGTTCTAGCGTCGCGACTTCTGAACGGAAAAATAGTTCGACGTATCATCAGTAGTACACTGGCGTTATACTTCCCCGTCAATTCGTCGAGAAAGACGTTCTTGCTCCCCTATGAAACAATCAGACACCACCACCATCAGTAAAAATTCCATACAGCACTACTGGCGAGCCATCCTCCAACAAAAACACACCAACGCTGCCAAACATCTCCCTCCCTATGAGAGGGAAGTAACAACCAAAGCAGAAAAAAGAGAGGCAGAAAACAAAGAAATCACAAACTATTAGAACCTGTCCCTGTCAAAAGCTCAGTAGCTTGCATTCATGCTGCACCTTCGGAGCCGCTGCAAGCCTTGTCTGCTTCATTTAACGATTGGAAAATGAAAAGCAGCTTGATGAAATATACAAACATTCATTACCTTCACAGCGACAGCAAGGCGGTGCTCATCCATCCTCAAGCTTCAAAGCTTTTGAATTCTCTGCATCCAAACAAGTTGAAACCACAGATTCATTACCAGAGAGAAAAGGTAAGAGAAAACAAACAAAAAAAAGAGGATAATACCTTGTTGTCAAAGAATTATTACTTCCAGAAGATCTGCACAGATCATCAAACATTAACGAGCTACGGACTAAGAAACATAGAAAAATCTCGCCTATACACCAATCATTTCAAAGTAAACATTTGGTGATTGCTTTCGCCGTTTGGAAACAAAAAAAAGAGTTTCGTAGCAAGTGACATAGTTTAGTACTTCTTCCCAATCTAGAGGAGGTAGAACCTCTAGAGGCCAGGAAAAAAAGGCCACTGTACTGCTAAATTTCGGAGGCCCCTTGGGAAACACACACGGCTTACCCAAGCAGAGGACCTTCAACCCCACTCAAACTTATTGTCATGAATCGCCTTCGTCTCGATCTTATCTAGAAGGTCTGGGAAGAAGAGTGAAAACCAAAGGAGAAAAGAAGATGAGAACTTAACAAGAGATTAACCTGAAGAAGCCGTGTCGAATGAATAAAGGGACCACCCTTCGTGTCCTCCTCCCGTCCCACTCCACAGTATTTACAAAACTTCGTGTGGAACTATTCGCTCTTCCAAGCGTAGAGAAGCAACGAAAAACCAGCCGCCGAGACGTGTGAAGCAGCAGTAGCAGCATCCTGGGCTGCTGCTCCTGTTCCCGGCTGGACTCGCAAGCTCGACGAGCAAGCCATGGCGTCTTTCATCCACGGCCTCTCGGACGAGACGCACGTCTGGAACATAAACACGGCATTCCCCAGCGAGGGATTGAAGAGCCAATTGTGCACGTCCCAAAACACCTCCACCGGCAAGCCGTCGACGAGGATGGTCTGGTTCCCCCTAAACTTCCACATAAGCTTCTTCACCTGGATCACCAGCTGCCTGTCCACCCTCACGTAAAGCCGCGGCTCCCGAGCTCCATTCGTGTGGCACTCGATCATAATGTCGTGAGTTCTTCCACTCTCGCCAAACTGCGCCTTGGTGGTGTAGTACCGCTTCCCAAAGACGTGCTCCCGCCGCGAGAGAAGCATAGCCTCGATCGTCGGTGGCCTCGCCTGCGTCTTCTTGTAAGCCTCCCTCACCATATCGCCCAGCAGCAATGCCACCTCTCCATCGGAAACGATGGCGAGGTAGAAACCATCTTGCGGCTCCGGCCCGCAGAGATACTTGGCCGAGGAGAGGTCCCAAAAGACCTCCACTTTCTGCCCATCCACCTCCATAGCCTTGGATCCCTGCTTCTTCCAGAAGAACCACGGCTTCATGTCTACCTTGCAAGTGTAGTGGCACGCTGGGTCGTCCACATTGACGCTCAGTCCCTGCCCCATGAGATTCTTGCACCATGTCACCGTGATCAAGCGGCAGTGGCCCCAGAGCTTGGTCTGATAGACGCAAGTCACCAGATTTTGCGTCATCCTGGCGCCCATGGACATGTCCGCGACCTGGACGCCGTATTCGCCGAAGCAAGAGGGGAATCCATCCGGCATTCTCAGCATCGTCGCGGGAGCGCCGATAATCTTGGATGGATTCTGGCGATGTTCTTGCCGCAATGCCGCAGGAATCTTGGGGCTTGGATCCGAGATCTTGCTGTCAGCCAAAAGCAAGGCAGCTCCGCTTGTCGTGGAAAGAGCGCCGCTCCTCCTGTTCCTGTTCCCCGAAATTCCTCATCCGGGAAAGATTCCAGGCCGCCGCCGCCGCCGCACAGATCTTCTGTCGCGGCGCTGGAGCTCGAGGAATCAAGAACGCCAAAACCCTAGGCCTAGAATATGAGCGGCAAGCGATCGAAGTGACCTGGGAAGAATGGAGGCCTCCGCCAATGCGGCCGCGTCGCGATTCTTCCAGCGCCCCGGCACGAATTCGCCACGCCCTAGCTAGAGCGCGCAAAAGCAATAAATCCTCGAGCTTTTGGGAGCTAGAAAGAGCTCGCCCAAGCACTGACTGGTATCCCCCATTTTACACGGATAACGGAACTAGGTAGAGAAAAAGCTCGCCTTTAGCCAGAAACGCTACCTAGCGATCGTGCGTTCGAATCCAGTCCACTCAAAGGCGCCAAAGCCACACCGTTGGATCCACATACCATTCAAACCTCGGCCGTTGGATTTGGGATTGGTCAAATAGTAGTTTTCTCACGACTTTAAAAAACGGGAAGGTGGAGGTATAAAGAATGTCTGATACCGCGGCATATTCTGTACCTAGCCACCTTGCACGACTATACATCATGCTCTGCGCAAATGCGCCAAATTACCATTAGATTTCGTGATGGTGATGCCTTACATCACAAACCAAGCTAACCTAAAATAAATAGTTCCATGATCCATGATTGGTTATGCCTCCGTCAACTTTCCTAGAAACAAGCATGGTTGATATTTTCCACGTCAACTTCCTCGACTTACGTAACAAATGATCCAGGTTTGATACCTCGTGTCAATCTTTAGGGAAAAATTCTCCCGGCTTTTGGCATAGAAAAAAGAGAATGTAAAAAAAGTGACAAACCTCTTCATATACACTGTCCCACACCATCTTGTCAAACACCAAACTTTGGATTTTTTGCTTGTTTCTCCACGCCACGAAACATGAGAGAGACAGGGAAGGCTGCAAATCTCTAGGAAATCATACTGTGCCTTGTTGATGCGTTAAGGTGGATTTCAAGTGATCGTAGCTGTTTACAACGATACATACCTTCTTTGTTAACATTTTCTTCGCTGGAGGTGGAGCCAAAGTCGAGATCCATCCATTGCAATGCGATTGTTAAAGAGCCTCTCTAAAATCTCCCAGATTGAGGCCGCGGACCTGACAATCGTGGCAATGTCACTCCTGACAAGTAGACCAGAAAGAAACAACAACAAACAAACCTGATCGTTTCCACCAGTGGACCAAGTTCGCAAATTGATATCATCGCACGAAGGTTGCTCCTAGAATGCCAAGCCGCTTCCCACACTTAGAAAGCAATATCTGGGGAAAAGAACAACGTTACAATCTGTGTCTTTCACGAGTCAGAGCCTGTCAAAACCGAAGGATTCAGCGAGAAAGAGAGGAAAGAAAAAAAAAAAGCAGAACTTTCCCACTTGACATGGATTGTCCTTTGAGAAGATTTTGTAGGAGTGACCTGCGGCCATCAGAGTCAGGTAGTGGACGCATATTCTCTTTCACCTGGAGAGGAAAAGCAAGAGGAGAACTTAAAAAAACGATCACGCGTTGGACTCACGAGACGCCTCCGTACTGGATCATCTATTTCCGCTGGCCTGTGAGTAGCACCTGTGACAAAAGAAATTCTCAGCTCAGTGGCAATGAATATCGCGCGCTTTACCCATCACAAAAAATTCGATCGTCCTTGATGGCTAAAAAATTTTCCGGTTTGAGCCTGCGGCCAGCATCATGTTCATTCGAACAAAATGCTGCCTATCTGGAAACGATTCGAACTCGAAGTTTCATGTGGGAAGCCCAACCTGCGTAGCAACTAAGCATAAGCTCCACAGACTGATAATAGAACAAATCTTACCCACTTTGAAGTGAACGACGAAGAAAGAATGCACTATAGGCCACTCAGATGCCACTGCCTTGGCCAGCAAGCCTGTTAAAGTGGGCGTCAGGCAAAAAGCAACGCGGGCTTTGTTTAAAACCTGGAGCTGGTGTGCGAAAATCCGTGAAAAGATCACTCCTTTTTGTAGGAAGAATAACCATCTCCATCAAAGCGTGCTTGAGTTTGCAAGTCCAGCTGCAAGAAGTAGCAATGTTCACGCAAGAAAAAGAAAAAGGACAAACACTAAGAAACATACCAATGATGGCCTGCCATAGACAATCTTACGTTTGATAGAAGTTGTCCGCCATTGGTACGACGATCACCACAGACGAGCTAGAAAGAACAGTTTGTGGCTGTAAAGTTCCAAGCTTCCAAAATCAAAAGATATAAAGAGAAATCACAAATACCGGTCGAACCTGAATAGTGATCAAATTCTCCAGCCAGAGCTTCGCATCGCTCCCATTTTTCTAGGGCTCATATCAGTAGCGATCTCTTTGCCACTGAATCCGGCCAGAACGGCATGCTCTCGAGCAATTCCATTGCGAAATCCCTGCGCCCCGACCTCGCAAGAGCGCCGAGAATGCAGCAGTAGTGCCGGATCGACGCCTGGAGCCCGAAATCCAGCGCCATTGACAAGAACTGGCGCCGGCTCTCCTCGATCGACCGCGGCGATCCCAGCACCGCCAAGAACGTCCCCCTGTCCGGCGCAAACCCTAGCAAGACCATTGCGTGGAGGAGCTCGATCGCGTTGCCAAAAGAGGAGCTTGCCGCCACAATGTACGTGCTCCATGATACGTCATCACGCTCTGGCATCCAAGCGAATATCTTCCCGGCCTGTTCTAGACTCCCAGCCTGGGAATATGCCACCATCAGCGCATTCCATGCCACAAGATTCCTCTCTGGCATGTTGTGAAAGGCTTCCCTGGTGGCATCAAGCTCCCAATTCTGGGCAAAAGATGCCACCATTGTGGACCAAGATATGGTGTCCAGCCATGGAATATTATCAAACACTCTCTTTGCTTGACAAATATTCCCAGCTTTAGAATATGCCTGCAGCATTGCAGTGGAGCATATTACATTGTTTTTAATTGCCATTTTGTCATATACACATTGTGCCTCTTCAATGCTGCCTTTGGAGGAAAATGCTTGTAGAATGGATGACATTGAAGAGATAGTATATTCTGGCATTTGATTGCAAAGGTGTAGAGCTTCCTCTTCAAAATTATTGGAGATGAGTGCCACAATAATCATGGACCATGAGTGAATATCCCTCTCCCTCATGCTTTTGAATATGATCCTTGCTTCACGCATCTGCCAGGCTTGGGCATATGCTCCAATCATTAAGCTCCAAACTTTCAAATCATGCTCTGGCATATTCTTAAAAATAGTTTTTGCTCCCTCCAAATTCCCAGCCCTGGCATATCCTTGCAACATTGCAGTGTATGTTATAATGTTTTTAACGGGAATGTCCTGGAATATGTTTTCTGCTTCAATCATATGCCCACATTGGGTATAAGCAGTGAGAAATGAGGTCCAAAACACCACATCTGGATATTCAACCTTCAGAAACAAATCCATTGATTCCTCAAATTTGCCATTTTTCACTAAGCTCTGAAGCATTATTTCTAAACCATGCCCATCCCAAAGAGGCATTTGGTGAAAAACTTTCTTTGCTAGATCTAAGTGCTCACATTGACAATAAACTTGTAGCAAAGCATTCCAAGTTCCCAAAGTATGGCAAGGCATCTCCAGAAAAACACACTTTGCTGCTACCACGTCGCCCAGCTGAGAATATGCGCCAATAGCAGCGTTGCAAGAAAGAATATTCACCTCTGGAAGCCGCTTAAACATTCTAACAGCTCCCTCTGGATACCCATTCTGGGAATATCCAGCTATGCATGTAGTCCACGACACTATGCTCGTCAATGGCATCTGGGCAAAAAGATTCCGGGCATCCTCCAACCATCTGCAGCATATATAACCTGCTAGCATAGAATTCCACGTAACCAAATTATGCCTAGGCATCTTACTATAGAGTTTCCAAGCTCCATCAAGATTCCCATTTGAGGCAAGTGCATCAAGCATAATATTCCAGGACACAATATTCCTTTCGGGCATAGAATCGAATATTCTTTTGACTGAAACAGAATCATTGCTTTGACTGTAAGCTGCGAGCATCACGTTGAACGACACTGTGTCTGGATGAGGAATCTTCTCAAACAAGGACTTGGCACTTTCAAGATGCCCGTTTTGGGCATATGCTTGTACCATAAGATTCCAAGATACAACGTTCTTGTGGGCAATACCATCAAACAATCCCTTTGCCTTTTCTAGAAATCCATTTTCCCCAAACGCTTGTATCAAAGCATTGCACGAAACTAGACTCTTCTCCGGGATTCTTTCAAAGTAAGACACGGCGTCCTCCAAATGCCCAGCTTTGGCGAGCCCTGTGACGATCGAATTCCACGATACTTGATTCGCATCGGGCATTTCCTCGAAGATCTTCTTTGCGGCGTCGAGATCCCCGCTCTGGACGAACAAGCTGATCATGTTGTTCCATAGAACAGGAGGTTTCTCTGGAGCCATGTCAAAGAGGCTCTTCGCTGCGTCGAAATGACCGTTCTGGGCATAGGCCGAGATCATGGTGCTCCAGGAGAATGCGTTTGGCGGCTCCATCTTGTCGAAGATCGAGCGCGCGGATTCCACACAGCCGCACTTGCCATACATGTCGATGAGAAGGTTGAGGAGGAACCTGTCAGATCGGAGCTGGCTCTGCGACACCCAATCGTGAATTTGCCTGCCGGACAAGAGATCTCGATCAAACGCGCAGCCACGGATCACTTCCGCGAAATCCTCGACCCTGTGGAATTTATCAGCAGCGCCCGTGATCTGGATTGCATCCATCGAGCCAAGCTCTCACGCGTGCTTGAAGAGCTTCATGCTGAGCCAGTGGAAGTAGACAGCCACGATCAAGACCGGGATCGTCATGGGAACCAGGAAGAAATAGTACCTGGGATCATCAAGAAACCCCAGATCTCGTCAAGAAACGATGAAGCGAAGGACTTACCACTCTCCCCGGATGAAATCCAGAGGCTTTGGCCCCGACGATGGCAAGAGCTGCGCCAAGAACGCGAAGTAGACGATGGCGCCAAAGGAGCAAACGCTGAGCGCTAGAAGAACAGCTCCGCCTTTCCCGCGCATTGCTTCTGCCCTAAAAGTTTGAACGAACTCACCCGGGTTAGCGTTAACCTAACCTGGAATCCCTTTAAAACGATGCCTGGATCTTCGGATCCTTTTTTAATATATGAGGAGGAGGAAGCCCGTGTGTCTCGAGGGCTCTTGTCCACGCGCACACCCCAGCGCGCTTCTTGGAAGGTACGATTCAATCCATCTTGGCGCTCGATCAATCTCCAGGGGAATCGATTCCAGTCCACGCCGCCATGAATCGATCTGGTCGGTAATCCGATTTCGCGAGATTTCGTGCTCGACTCACCCTGTTCTTGACAGCCGCGCAAGATTCTACCCGGAATGAGAGATCGATCGGCAAAGGTATGGAAATCTCTTCCAAGAAGCCTAATGTAGGAACCAGGGGCGTGTCCAGGTCGTCGGCGCAGAGCTGCCGCGGAGCAGCGGCGGATAGAACAGCAGCGATGGGGGCAATTCGACGAAGACAAGGACGAGGATGGAGCTACGGACTTGATCCTAGCGCCGGCGCCGAGGCGGCGTAGCAGGCGTCCCTCGCGGCGAGAGCTGCTACAGGATGAGCTCCAACTGGCGAGGGATGAGCTCGAGATGGAGGCGCTGCGCTTGCGATACGGCGGATCTCACGAGCTCGATATTGCTCTAGGTAAGTTGTCGCAACTCGCAAGGTACTTCTTTCCCTCTTCTTTGCTTGTTTGGTTTTTTTCTTTTCTTTGTTTGAGTGCCTTCTTTGCTTCCATTGATCAAAGTGGTTTGCCTTCCTTCATCTATTATGTTTTCCCTTCTCACGGTTCTTCTATTTGTTTTGAGAAAACTTCTCACGCTTCTCCTTGTTGGTTTGTCTTCCTTCATCTTTTTTCCTTTTCTCGAGAGAACTTCTCACGGTTTGAAGTGCAGCCTTGTCTCTCTCCTTGAGTGATGAACCGACTTACGCTCACGCGGAGGCTACTGCGGTTTCTTCACTGGATATGTCGTATGAGGCAAGTAACTTCCCTTCTTTCTTTTCGCGTAGTTTTCTCGAGCCTGAGACTCACTCGTCTTCCACAGAGCCTCGTAGAACTCGAGAGCGTGAAGTGCGTGGCTTCTCCAGCTCTAGTGGCTTCCCTTGACCGGACCATCTTCTCAGATGGCGGCGGCGGCGGCTCCGCCGAGTAAGTCCCTCTGATCACTCTCCCTCCTCTGACTTGGGCTTTCTTTGTGGCTTTTCTATCCAGCTCTTGCGTCATCTGCCAGAACGAATACGTTGGCGGGGACAATCTCTCCCGCCTACCTTGCAAGCACGACGTTCACGAAGCTTGCGGCTCCGAGTGGCTGCTCAACTATTCAAAGCTCTGCCCCGTCTGCAAGGCGGACGTGACCATGGAGCATTGATCTTTGTACAGTTCCAGGTAAAACTTCATACTCGATCGATCGAAACTAAGAGAACTTCTTCCTTTCTTGTCCCGCAGATAGGTACATTATTATTTCTCATTGATTCATCTAGCAACGATGAACAAGCTGTACATTCAACCTTGTAAAAAATGGTTCTTCTTTCTTGTATTTAACTTGTATGTCAAGGCAGCGTGTCTTATCGTGGAACATCGCTATAGCAGGCCATGCCCGAAATGGTCAGGTGGAGCTCGCAAAGGCGGTGTTTGACGAGAGCCCCCAGCGCGACGTGTCTTCGTGGAACACACTCGCGCAGGCCTATCTCCACCGCCAGGACTTCTCCTCCGCGAAAAGAGCCTTCGATGGAATGCCTTCTCACGACGTTGTGTCGCTCAACACGATGGTTTGTGGGCACGTTCGGGCTGGATTGGTCCAACACGGTGAGGATCTCTTCCGCTGGATGGCGCAGAGGAGCAGCGTCTCATGGAAGAGTTTGTGCCAAGCATATGCCCAAACTGGGCATCTGGAGAGAGCTAAGAACTTGTTTGAGAAAATGCCACAGTTGGATCTTTTGTCATGCACAAGCCTCTTGAGTGTATTTGCCCAAACGTGTCAAGTGGAACAAGCAAAACTTATTTTTGATGTGATGTGTTTTAGAGATGTTCTGTGCTGGGTTGCCATGCTTGCAGCATATGCCAAAGCTGGGTATATGCTAACTACTGAAGTGTGTTTTGCTTTGATGCCTTTCTGGGACAATGTGGCGTTCACTGTTATGGTGGCGACATATTCCCGTTGTGGACAGTTAACCAAAGCCTTGGATATCTTTCAGAAAATAGTCTCTCACGACGTTTATTCCTGGACTGCGCTGCTTTCGGCATATGCCTCAAACGGGCATCTTGAGGAAGCGCAAGGAATCTTTTCCTTTATGCCGTGCCGCGGGCCTGTCGCGTGGAACTCGATGATTTCTTCGTTCTCGCAAATGGGAAACTTGGAAGTGACGAAGTTTTTGTTTGAAGAGATGCCTCAGCTGGACATTGTGGCGTGGGCGTCGCTGGTCATGGCCAGTACCGAGGCAGAACAAATGGGCTTGGCCCAAAACGTGTACGACCGGATGCCCCAGCACAATGCCGTGGTTTGTACGTCGCTTTTCCAGGCATATGCCCGCTATGGACATCTCAAAGAAGCCGAGAAAATGTACCACGGAATGTTCTACAAAGATGCCCTCTCGAGTACAGTCTTGTTGAGTGCCTACATACGGAACAAAGAACCGGTTCTAGCGAAAGAGTTTTTTGACAAGATGTGGAAGAGGGATCAGTTTTCGTGGAACATTTTGCTGTGCGGCTTTGTGCACTGCGGCTTGCTAGACAAGGCCGAGATTCTGCTGCACGAAAAGATGCCAATGTACGGCATTGTGCCGATGAATGCCATTCTAGCCGGATATTCCCAGCTTGGGAATCTGGAGAAAGCTAAGATGCTCTTTGATGCTCTTCCTTGTGGCAATGTTGTCTCGTGGTCCATTCTCATTGCTTGCCATGCGCACAAAGGGGAATCTCTCCAAACAAAGCTCGTGTTTGGAAAGATGCCGCAGCTAAACATGGTGGCTTGGAATGCCTTGGGATTCGTTAGTGGTTTGACGAAGCAGCTGGAAACAGCACGAGAAGTTTTCCATTCGATGCCGGGTCGTGATTTTCTCTCGTGGGCGAATTTTCTTACAACATCACTATCGAGTGGAGATCTTCCATCGGCAAAGCGGGTCTTTGAAAAGATCCCGATGCTGGACATGGTTCTTTGGACGACTTTGGTTTTGGCTCATGCCCAAGCTGGGCATATTGGTGAAGCCAACACACTCTTTGCAAAGATGCCAGCCAGAGACTTGGTAGCCTGCAACGCCATGCTTGGAATCTATGCCCAGAATGGGTATTGCAGCGAGGCAACTGGCCTCCTCCAAGAGATGACCCTGGAAGGTTTGAGCGCCGATGGAACGAGCTTCACGAGCTTGCTCAGTGGATTTGGCCACTCAGGATTGCTCAGCGATGGATTGAGCTGCTTGGCGAGCATGGCTAATGACTTTGGTCTTGTTCCAGATCCCCAACACTACAGCAGTGTGATTGATCTCGTTGCCAGGAGTGGAGAGGTGAAAGATGCAAAGGGAATGCTGGCATCGTTTGGCCTTGCAAGCGATGTTGCCTGGAGGAGCTTGCTCGCTGCTTGCCGCATTCAGCTGGATGAAGAGAGCGCCCTGGCAGCTGCTAGCTCCCAAGAACATCACAAGGAAAAGGCTCCCTATTCTTTGCTTGTAAACATTCTTGCAAGCTGATAGCTTCATTTACACAAGTGAGAAAGTGAGTGAAGAGGTGAAAATTAAGTGGTTTTATGCCCCTAGAGTCTAGGTGGGTGTTGAAAAAACATACACTGTAAAATCTAAAGCTCTAAGTAGTTTTTTAGAATACCACAAAAACAAGTCCTTGATTTTGGTTGACCCTCCAAAGCCTTCACACAAGTTCCAGAAATTATGTGTGTCATATTGAGAGGAATTAGGATGCTCATAGGTGGAAAATGTACTGACACTTCCCCAAACTTCTGACTCAACTGACTGAAGGGCAGGGTCCATGTCCCCACTTGCAAAATGTAGCTTTCCCCACCTCAGGCGCTCACAGGAATCTCTCCTCTCATTTACTGATTCCCAAATTATGTTGTGGCCATTGAGTGTGTTGATTTCTTTCTTTGCTTTCCCCTGCTTTTCCTTCCACCCACAGATCTATATAGAAATCCTTTCTCCTCTATCACTTGCTTGATCTGGAAAATAGATCTGATGCTCTGACCTTTCAAAGCTTCCCCCTGCTCCCCTCATGATCCCTGAATTGCAGACTGGATTGTGAACTGACACCATAGCAGAAACAGCACCAGTGCAATGAGCCCTCCAACCAAGAGTGAAGACTGTGAAATCCCTGGATTTGATGGGCTGAGCTTTGAGCCAGAGGGAGAGGGAGAGGAGGAGGAAGAGCTGAGGAAATGGAGGAGGAAGAGCAGGAGAACTGGGAGCAAAAAGAGTGGCTTGAGTGACATCTCTGATGATTTCTCCTCCTCCTCTTCCTCCTCTGCTCCCTCTAATGTAAGATACCATGGGATAATCAGGATTCCCAGCACCAGCACAAGAATGAGCAATGGAACCAGTGGGGATGGAGAGGAGGCATCTGCAGCTGTTGCCATTTTCGAAAATGGGAGAAAAGAAAATAGAGAAAAAAGATAAAAGGGAATGAAAAGAGGCAGCTGCTGTTGTAGGTAGATGGAATTGAAGCTGTTTGTATTTACTTTCTCTTTTGTATTTCTGGTCTGGTTCTTCCTTGTGGAGGTCCTTTGCAGCCCAGTAAAAATGCTTTAAAATTCTACACACTCACATGTAAGATGGTGTCAAGCTCTTGCTTGAGCCCGCCTGCATGTTTCCTTTGATTTGCTCTCCCTCCTGTAACTTTTTTCTTCTTTTTATCCTCCTTGATTTTGTTGGTAGAGTCTAAAAAGGAAGCAGAGCGCGTTTTCTCTTCCGTCCTACTCCATAAACATCAACGTCGTCTTGTCCCAAACAGATGCCTTTTTGGTGCATTTTCTTTTTTCTTTAGAGAAAAGAAGTCTTGTTTTTTCCTTTGATTTTAGTGACTACTTGATAGTGAATTTGCTAGAAGGGCCAGGGCTCCAGCTCTCTTTCCATCCAGCCTAGCGAGCACATTGGTTCCTTTGATTAGAGTTTTAGGAGCCGCTCCCAGTAAACATGTCCACTCCAAGGAATCTGGCTCGAATGGCATGTTCTCGATTAGATCTCTCGCAGCTTCATAAGAGGCTGCTCTTCCCACTAAATCGACCATGCAAGAGTAGTGCTGCTTCAAAGCCACAAATCCGTAGCTTTCAACCAGCATGAAAAAATTCTTCCTTCCATTTTCAAGATCTCCCAAGCGACTGCACGCAATAAGAACTGATACAAAACACGTCTGGTCGGTCACGTCCAAGATTTTCGCTTCCTCAAATAAAGCAAAAGCTTCAAGGTAGTGGCGGTTTTGGGCATATGCAGCAAGCATCGTGTTCCAGGTAACAATGTCTTTCTCAGGCATTTTATCGAAAAACGCTTTTGCAAGAGCTATATCCCCAGCTTGGGCATATGCAGCAAGCATGGCATTCCATGTTACTACAGTTTTCTCACCGCACATAGTGTGGAACATCCCAAAGGCAGTTTGTAGGTCTTCACAGGCTAGAATCTCATTGAAAGAAATAGAATCTTGCTGTGGCATGGAGTTGAATACAACCTTGGCTTGCTCGATATGCCCAGTTTGGACATATCCACAAAGCATAGAATTCCAAGAAGATAAACCTCTATGCGGCATTTGCTCAAACATTGCCTTTGCGTCTTCAATGCGATTGTTCATTGCATAGGCACTTAACATTGCATTCCAAGACACGATATCGTGAACTGGCATTGAATCAAACAAGAGTTTTGCCGATTCAAGCTGACCTGTTCTTGAGTAGCCTGTGATCATAGTTGTCCAGGCTACAAGGTCTGTCTCTGGAATTTGGTCAAAAATGCTCTTTGCTTCCTCCATCTCTCCTTCTTGGGCATATGCTCCTATCATGGTAGTCCAAACACAAAGGTCCTTAGTGGGCATAGCATCAAATATGATTCCAGCATTTTGAAAGTCACCTTTCTTAGAATAAGCCCATATAAGTATTGCCCATGAAACTAAATTCCATTGTGGCATTGTATCAAAGATATTGGAGGTTTTCTCAAAGTTTTTCCCTTGTGAGAAGGCCATTAGCATTGCATTGTAAGAGCTCAAGTCCTTCTCTAGCATTCTAAGAAACAAAAACTCACATTCTAGATAATACCCATGTCGGGCATATGCTAAGAGCATTGTATTTGCAGATAAAAGGTCCCACTCTGGCATTGTGTTAAAAATGTGTCTTGCATAATCAAAATCATTTGCTTGATTATAGCATGACAGCAAACACGTCCACGAAACTAAGTCATATTGGGGCATATCCTCAAATAAACGACGAGCTTCATCAATATATCCCATTTGGGCATATGCTTTCAACAAGGTGGTATAAGACGTCATATCCTTCCAATGTAAATCCTCAAAAATCTTCTTGGCCTCGTCAAAATTTTGATTAGAAGCATAAAAGGCAAGCATGGCATTCCATGAGATAATAGAATGCTCTGGTAGTTCACAGAGCATTCGCTTGGCCTGCAACGTATCACCTTCGCTTACATAAGCAGAAAAAAGAGTGACCCATGACACACAATCATGAGTTGGAATCGAGTCTACAAGTTTTTCTGCCTTTTCAATATGTCCAGTTTCAATAAATACAGAGAGCAGAAGTGTAGAAGAAACTAAGTCGATCTGTGGCATATTCACGTATATGCTCTCAGCAAAGGATACATTTTCGTCTTGGCAGTACCCTTCCAGAATTGTGTTCCAAGATACAAAATCTTGATACCGCATTGTGTCAAAGAAATTTCTGGCCTCTTGCATTTGCCCGGATTTGGTAAATGCTCGTAAAACGATGTTGCTTGATATCAAGTCAAACACAGGCATTTTGTTGTAGAGGGCTTCTTTTTCCGGTACTTTTTCAGAATTGTAAGCCGAAAGTATCAACGTCCAAGAAACTAAGTCGTGAACCGGCATCCTCTCAAACAGAAATTTGGCATTTACTAGATGCCCATCACGGGCATATACAGAAAGCATGGAGTTCCAGCTCACAAGGTTTCGTTCGGTCATTTCGTTGAACACTAGCTCTGCCTCCTGTACCTCGCCATGTTTTGCATACAGTGTGAGAAGTATATTGTGGCAGACAACGTCCCACATTGGCATACGAGCAAAGATTCTCTTAGATTCGCTGATATGCCCATGCCGGGCATATGCCTCGAGCAGCACTGTCCACGAGACAATGCCGGGTTGTGGAATCTCCTCAAAGAGAAGCCTCGCATTTCTAAGATCGTCATTTTTGCAGTAAGCTAGGAGGATGGCGTGCCAGGAAAAGGAATCTTTCGATCTCAGGGAATCAAAGACGGCTCGTGCGTGGCTAGGCGAGCCGCAGTGGCCGTACGCTTGAATCAGCTTGTTGGCAGCGAAGAGATTGTGTGGAAGAAGCGATTTGATCCGCTCGTGAATCTCTCTCGCATCAACCAGAGTTTTGCAGCGCTCGATCTGGGCGAACAAATCCCGGTGAGAACTTGGAGCCATTATTTTTCTGTGATTGAGTGGGACATGATCCACGCTGTTCTTCCAAGCTCTAGGGACGAAATCGCGGCAGCCATCCGGCACTGTGGAGACAGCAATGATGTGTTCGCCGGCAGGAAAATCCACGCCCAGATCCACCTCTCCCGACAGCACCGGGAGGATCTCTTCCTCGCCAATCTCCTCGTCCAGATGTACGGCAGGTGGGGCGACACCTGTACGGCACTCGAGACCTTTCGCGCCATCCCCGACAAGAACCTCTTCTCATACGCCATCATGATGACTGCCTACCTGGGCACCACCGACATCGCGGGCTGTAAGAGAATATTCGATGCCATGCCCCTGCGCGATCTAGTGTCCTGGAACGCCATGGTTACTGCATATGCCCAAAATGGGTATATTCTAGAGTCTCGGCATATGCTTTTTTTAATGCCGGAATGGGACGTCTCCTCGTGGAATTCTCTGCTATCGGGGACGGCACAAAATGGGAATATACGTGAGGTACAAGAGGTTTACGGTATGATGCCGTACCGTGACGTTGTGACGGATAGTACGCTCTTGGCAGCATATGCCCATAAAGGGCATTTGGAGTTGGCGGAGGAACTTTTTGAGAGTATGACGGTCAGGAACATGGTGTCGTATACGTCGATGGTTGCTGCGTACGGGAAAAGTGGGATGATCCAGAGAGCGAAATCTATGTTTGATATGATGCCAGAGAGGAATCTCGTTTCGTGGACTGTGATGATTTGTTTGTTTGCGGAGAATGGGCTCCCAGAGCAAGCAAAGCGCACATATGATCTAATGCCGTGCCAAGATTGTGTCGCTTTGGTTGTGGTGCTGGATTCTTATGCGCAGATTGGAGACAGAGTTCGTGCCAAAGAGCTGTTTGATTCAATGCCCAAGAAGAGCTTGATCGCGTCAAATGCATTGATGAAAGCACACGCTCTAGCTGGGGACCTGGATGGAGCGAAAAGTTTTCTGGAGCAGATGCCCGAGTGGAGTGAATCTTCCTTTAACTTTTTCATTGAGTTGTATGGAAGGCATGGGTTTGTTCTTGAGGCTAAATCCATGTTTGATATCATGCCCTTAAAGAGCGTCATATCATGGACAAACATGACAGTTGCATTTGCCTCAAATGGACGTGTAGAAACCGCTTTTAAGCTCTTTGATGGGATGTTTGAGAAAAACAAAGTGATATGGAACACAATCCTCCATGGATTTGCGCTTAATAACCACAGGACAGAGAGTCTTGAGTTGTTTGTTAAAATGGTGATTGAGGGATTTGATCCAGATGAAATATCTTTTAACAGTGTTCTGAGTGCTTGCAATCACACTGGGAATACTAAATTGGGTTTGGATTACTTGATCTCAATGGAAGTGGACTTTGGATTGAAAGTAATGTTAGAGCATTTTCATTGTGTCATGGACCTATTAGGGAGGGTAGGCAGGCTTGATGAAATTGAACAATTGTTCAATCGTATGCCATCTGCACCAAATAGTATCACATGGACTATTTTCTTAGCATCTTATCATTAGTCTTACCTCAGAAAATTAAAATAAAGATGTTATTAATTTTGAGTTTATTTTAAATTTAATAAAATACAAGGGTAAATTGTAGTATGATTAAGTTTTCTGATCTTTTCTTGTTACTTATTTAGAGTGGTGTCAATTATTCTTTTCTCCAACTTGTCATAATATTTGAAATGGTCTCTTCCACTAAGTAAGGAGCCCTTTAGATAAACCACATATCATAAAATTGGGAAAATAAACTATCATCCATTTTATACTTTGTAGATGGGTAATAATGAGAGTTATAAAGCCATTGTTATTCCACTTATATATGGCCTAATTCTTCAGTAGACTCCACTCAAAACAGTGAAAGAATGATTATTAAATATTGATCCTAGGACTTAGTATTAGCAATTTATATCAATTGTGAAGGTAAACTCAACTTTATTAGTAATATTATGACCATATAGAAGTTTATCTAGTGAATTATTAACAAAACTTTGTACCCCTATGATACACACGTATTAAAAGATAACAAATAATTATCCCAATTTGAATAGTAAAAGCTTACGTATCGTGTAATCATCATTTTGAAGGTCCAAATAAACCATTCTACTAAACTATCTAAAGGGGGGAGTGATCATGGGTATTAAAAGTTATTTATTGGCTAATGTTTTTTGGATATTTTTTCTTTATTACCATGACGGCAAGAGGTTGGTATTATAAGATTCTTTATCTGTCCCTCTTGTTGAAGAGGTGATAGTTTACTGTGTTTGCTAAACACTTTTGCTATCATGCCCATTATGTTGGTTTTGATCAACTTAAGGTATGGCTAATCAACTTAAGGCATAGTTTAGCTCCCACTTGCATGCTTGTTCTTGTTTTGCATCTAGCTTTGGTCTAATCTTGAGTTTCACACTATGCTAATTGGTGGAATATCTATATCCTAGCGTTAGGTTACCAGTACATTGAAATAGCAACAAACCAATAGTGGAGATGATATTGTTATATTGAGTGATAAGGAACATTTTTTAGAGCTTGATTTTTTATGTCACTTTTCTTGTTAGTGTTTTGGTTTCATATTGGATTTTAAAGGTGATAGAAGAAGAATGTTAGTACAATATAAATATTTGAAGATATAATCTTTGTGATTAAGTCTTAGATATTTATTTAGATTTTGCAGATGTTGAAAACATAGGCATGATGTTCGATTCTTAGCCTTCTTGGACTCCTTGGACTCTATCTTGGACTCTAGGATCATCTTCCACAGTAACTGGAGTTGAAACATGTATAATTATAAGTGAGAAAAATAATGTTTCATAGTGTTATGTCAGTCCTAGAGGGGCTAGGGTAAGTGTATGCACAAGTCCTACAAGATCATGACAAAATGATAGTTACAACATTCCTAACTTGATCTACTTTAAAATATTTGCTTTTATACGAAGTAAGAGGCTTCAAAAACAAACACCAAATTGCATGATTAACTTAGAAAGCCAATGATGCAATTGCTAGAAGGCATCATCACAGTCGTTAACATATCCAAATGCATATTTGAAAATGTTTGGGAGAAAATTCTAATTTACATGAGTGGCTGTGCTTAAACCATTGTACCACTTTAATGTTATCTCATAGATATAAGTGGAAAACTTATGCAAATATCGGACATCATCCCAAGAATAATAAGTGGCAATCACCATAAAATGATTGAACCAAAAATACATATCATTCTCACAAAAGAAATTTAACTGAAAGTAAAGATTGCCAACAAGAGTAAAAGTTGCACCATATATCCTGAATATCAAAAAGTGGCCTAATCCCTATGAAGATTTTAGTTTGGAAATGAGTAGGCTTTTAAGAAGGCCCAAAGATGTTTGGACCAAGATAAATTGGTATATTGCACTCTCGATGACTCCATCTTATACTACACCACCAGATAATTAAAAGATTTAAGCAACTAAAAGACTAAAAAAATATGTAGGGATTATATTAATATAAATACTAGCAAGAAAATATATAGAGAAAGTCAATTTTTTCTTAATAATATTATAAAATAGCATAAAAAGTCACAAAAATATTTGTATAAATCCCTTCAAAGCTCAATGGATCAAGCTACTTGCATAATATTGTGAAATTAGATAGGCTATTTTCTTTTAAAATTTTTTTTTAAAATAACATAAATTATTGTATCAAATTTATCATTTGTGACTAAAGTATTAGTATGCATTTTATTCTCTCTACTTCATTCCCTTATATTATAAATTTAATTGTTGATAATAATTTGATTTTCCATCTTAAGTTAAACTATAAGAATAAAAGTAATATATGATTATGAAATAAATTTATTAATTGGTCTAGATTTACTTTTAATTTTGACTCAGTAAACATTATATTTTAATGAGTTTTCATATACGTCCACTAAATTTTTTTTAAAAAAAGGAAAAGTTAGTTAAAAGAGTAACACTATCAAATAAATATAAAATTAAAGTTTAATATTTTTTTTCTAAGAGTACTGTCTACATAAATTTTGATAAATCCGGTTAAGATTATTAAATTAGATGCCAGTTATTTAACACTTAACTAATAAAATAATAAAATCTCTTTTTTGTATAGAAATAAATTATTTTTCACGTTTTGGTAACTTGATAGATGATAAAACCATTATAATGTAGTTAAAATTATTTTTTATAAAGGTCAAAGAATTGTTAAATTATAAAATGTAATATTTTAAAAGAATTTTGCAGCCTAGTATGATAAGGAAAATCAAACACTTAGTACATCTCACTTTCTCTCTTTGGAGTTAAATAACTAAATATCTATTTATGAATCTCATTAAATGGAGGGATGTCCAACTTGCGTTTATATATTTCAATTTAAGGTGCAATTTTTCTTATGATGGTCTTGGATTTTACCAAAACAAAAACCTTTTTAAGTCAATGATTTCATCTTTTCTGTGACACAAATTTAATATTAGCATTCAAACCCCTAGTTTTACTCTTCTATATTATGCATTGCAACCATTCCAATCTGGAGAATCTAACATAGCCACAGCCCAGGGACATCTTGGATCTTGGCAATCAAGTCACTAGATTGGATTAGGGAAGAATTCTTTAGTGTAGATGAATGGTGGTAAAGTGAACATCCTTTCAAACTTATACTGATTTTCTTCTCCTAGATGCCCTAATACCAAATTTGGACTATTGTGGTTGAATCCTTTTCTCATTCATTTTGTTTCCCTCTTTCTTTTTTAACAGTTTTATTATTCTCTTTCCAAGCTGATCAAAGACTACAACTTGGTATGGAAGTCCCAATGATACTAGAACTTTTGGTATGGAATCAAATCTCTACAAATCCTTCTTTTTCTCTTTTTTGTGATCAATGTCTTTGTTTTTGTTTATCTCTGATGTTAGCATTGGGAGCCTTATCCTGTTCAAAAAAAGTAGAGTTTGTGCTGCATGCTGTAAGGTATGTGAGATTGACGTCTTTCTCCTGTAAACCAT